TGCCCACACAACAACAACAACAACAACATATCAACAATAACAACAACAACAACAACACATCAACAACAACAACACAACAATAACAACACCATATCAACAATAACAACAACAACAGCAACAACAACAACACATCAACAATAACAACAACTCAACAATAACAACAACACAACAATAACAACAACACAACAACAACAACAACACAACAATAACAACAACATATCAACAACAACAACAACAACAACACAACAACAACAACAAACATATGCCGAGCAGTTGCTCAGTTTTAGGGTGTATGGCACAAATTCGAAACGGCGATGATATAACGTTTCATCGCTTTCCGAAGGACAAAGAACCGAGAAGATGGATTCCCTTGTACAAGAGGAAAGACTTTATAATTGCTAAACATGCCATAATAAGCACCTTGCTTGCTGAGGCCAGTGTGTGTGGGGAAAACTTCATATATAACCTGGTTGAACTATCAGTCCAAGAAGACTAGTAAGGATTAAGAATGCAGAAATACCAACATGACAACTGCCATGTTTAAAGTAAGCCTACATTACTTCAGCTGCTTTCTTCATTCACAAGTTTTTAAATGACTGTTATCATTAGGTAAGAACACGTTGTAATAGGATGTTGGAGGGAAGTCTGTAACCTGCCGCGCGGGTAAGCAACAAATATCATGTTTGTAGTCAATTGTCATGTGATTATTGTCACATCAATTGGTTGTCAATGGGCGTGGGGAGAGCAAAACCTCTCGTCATCTAGTGTATTCTCTTACATTGTATTGCTGATGTTTGCCGCCATGACCCTCTTGCAGACCATAAACAAGGTCTAGACCAGCGGTTCCCAAACATGTAGGTCGGGGAGTTACCTGGGCCTTTTTTAGTCCAGGTGTCAAGGACTGAAGGACGTGGCCGTCTCGTCAGGACTATACAATAAATTATGGTCAAGTGATTAACGCAGTTACTCTCCTTGTGTCAGGTCAGGCCAGTCCAGGTCAGACTTGCCCTGATGACACGTTTCACAACAGAAGTTCCACACTCCTACCTTGGAACTGTTCTCAGCTCAGTTCACTGGACTTCCCACGGATGCGGACAGAAAATGACAACAAATTTCAATGATAGATTCCCTGAGTTGTTTACCGAGTCTTTACAATTGTGTTCAGTTCTTTCACGACAGATTTAAAACAGTGTGGCTCTCTTGTACTCGAAATGGCCGAATTACAGGCTGACAACGAGGCAAAGGCAAATTCTGACGTCTGTAATGATATATCGATGTTTTGATCAATTTACCCAAGAGATATTCAACTGTTAACAATCGATCTATCAAGGCTCTGGTACAATTTGGAAGCAGCTTTCTCGTCAATGGTGTTTATAAAAGCTGATTACCGTAACCGTATACAGTATTTCAAACTTCAACTTAGAAAATTATTTATGTTGCTTAATAAAAGAATTAAACCCCCAGTTAACGGATAATTTACTAAGCGATAATGCACACACAACACATACGAAATATGGCAGAGTTGTAACTAAGGAAATTTACGTTATGTTGCTTGTGCACTTAATTTTATCCCCAGGTATAGAACATTAAATAACGATAATTATAAACATGACAGTTGTAACTTATTTCTGCTAGTGTTTACTTTTACACTTCTCCATTACGTAATATATTTTCCTTATTTATTGTAAGAATCCTCAGTCTATACCAGTCACAGTCGAGGTGTCTGACGAAAACATATCAAGAGCTCATTCAACATTTACACACACACACACACACACACACACACACACACACACACAGGTCAAGGATGCTGTGGTTAATATCCTGTTGGTGACTGGTTAAGAATGCTGAATAATAGTGGGATGGTGTGCTCTCTCTCTCTCTCTCTCTCTCTCTCTCTCTCTCTCTCTCTCTCTCTCTCTCTCTCTCTCTCTCTCTCTCTCTCTCTCTCTCTCTCTCTCTCCCTGTGTGTGTGTCAAATGTTTATCAGGTAACATCGTGTGAAAGTTGACGATGACTACAGGTGTAATAAGCCTTATTGATGCCACCTGTGTTGTTCACTTTCCACTGTATTTAGGACATATTTTAGTTAATTAATCATACTAGTAACATGTATTCACACCTGAAATTTAACTTTATATTTTATCTGACAAAGTAACTATCATTTCAATACTTATCAAACGTTCGTCAAATGTTTAGAAAGAATTGTCAGTAAAGGTTTATGAATCAAAGCCTTCAGGTATATAGCGACGTCCTCCACAACGAGTTTGAATAATGTACTGCCGAAAGTTTCATCAGCCCAGGAGAGAGACGCCCCCTCCCCCACTCCTCCTCTCGACCCCATTCCTCCTCTCGACGCCCCTCCCCCCACCTCCTCCCTCTCGACGCCCCCTCCCCCCTCCTCCCTCTCGACGCCCCCTCCCCCCATTCCTCCCTCTCAGCGCCCCTCCCCCCCTCACTCCGTCTCACTCCATGTCTACGCCGTTGAGATACTCGCTCCTGACTCACCCTGATTCGCTCCTGACTCCTCCTGATTCGCTCCTGGCTTTCACTCCTGATTCGCTCTGACTCCTCCTGATTCGCTCTGACTCACTCTGGTTCGCTCCTGACTCACTCCTGATTCGCTCCTGACTCACTCCTGATTCGCTCCTGACTCACTCCTGATTCACTCCTGACTCACTCCTGATTCACTCCTGACTCACTCTTGCCAGCTAGCATAACCTAACCCTAAGTGTATAACGTTGATTAAATTAGACCTAAGTATTCATAAGCAAAGTGAATCTACTGACACTTAAGTTTAACAACCAACCCAACCCAGCCCAACCCAACCCCAACCCAGCCCAGCCCAGCCCAGCCAACCCAGCCACACCCAACCACACCCAACCACCCAGCCAGCCCAGCCCAGCCCAACCCAGCCACACCCAACCACAGCCCAGCCCAACCCCCACCCAACCAACACCACCCACCCAACCCACCCCAACCCACCCAGCCCAACCCAGCCCACCACCCACACCCACCCAACCCAACCCACACCCAACCCAAGCCCAACCCAGCCCCAACACACACCCAACCACACCCAACCCACCCACCCAGCCAAGCCCAACCCAGCCAACAACCCGCCCAACCACACCCAACCCACCCAACAGCCCAGCCCAACCCAGCCCAACCCAGCCCAACCCACACCCAACCCCAGCAGCCCAACCCAACCACCCAACCACACCACCCAACCCAGACCCAACAACCCACCCAACCCAATGACCAACCAACCGGCCCAACAACCCAACCAACCACAACCCAACCACACCATTACCCAACCCAGCAACCCCCACCCAACCACCCAACCCAACCCAACCCAACCCAACCCAACCCAACCCAACCCACCCAACCCCAACCCAACCCAACCCAACCCCACCCAACCCAACCCAACCCAACCCACCCAACCCAACCCAACCCAGCCTTAACCCACCCAACAACCCAATTTTGCCCAACCCAGCAGCAACCCAACCCAGCCCAGCACCCAACCCAACCCACCCAACCACACCCAACCCACCCACCCCAACCCACCCACCCAACCCACCCAACAATAACCCAGCCAACCCCAGCCAACCCAGCAACCCAACTCAACCCAACCCAACCCACCCAACCACACCCAACCACACCCAGCCCAACCCAAACACAACCCAACCCAGCCCAGCCACACCCAATCCAACACCAATATAGTGACCTCTCATTAGACTCTGGGCAGAAGGAGTAACGTAAATATGTGATTCCTGTCTGTTAACACATTATTTTGTCAGTAAGAGCGAGCCACAGTAAGATAGGTGAGACTATCACTACTCTCTCATCATTAATTACGTTGGTTTAAGTTCCACCTGTCCTTAATTACTGTACACGCACCTGGTAGATGTATAGCGTCAAGGAATAAACATGATTTGGTATATATATTTTTTAGGTATATATGACTCGTACTGTAGCTTTAGTTCACAGGTATATTCTAGGTGGGGTTTTTTTAGGTTTGTCCTCTCTCTCTCTCTCTCTCTCTCTTCTTCCTCTTCTTCCTCTTCCTCCTCCTCTTCTTCCTCCTCTTCCTCTTCTTCTTCCTCCTCTTCCTCTTCTTCCTCTTCCTCTTCCTCTTCTTCCTCTTCTTCTTCCTCCTCCTGTTTTTCTTCCTCTTCTCTTCCTCCTTTTCCTCCTCTCTTCCTCCTCTTCCGTTCCTTTCTCTTCTTCTCTCTCTTCTTCCTCTTCGCTGCTCCTTTCATTCTGTTTGTCTCTCCACCTACCCTTCACCTACTTTTTCCTCCCTCCTATCCTTCTTCTCCCCTCTATCCACATTCTCTTCCATTTATTCTATCCGTCTCATTTATTTTCAACATATAATTATTTTTCTTTTCGACTCTGTTACGTCACCATGATAATTAATTATACTCTAATGACAAATTAATTATAATCCAAACGACAATTATATACCGTCACATCTCGCCTATTGTAATTAATTTGGTTTAACATGTGATTAATTAAACCTCATTCTCAAATTAATTAGACAATGAGTTATTTTTTATGATTTTTTTGTAGGTATTTCAAATTGTTTCGTCTATAACGTGAAGAAAATTATGGTATTTTATTTTTCTTATTCTTATGTGGATTAAAAGTTGATTTTTACTAAGACATTTAAACAAAATATCCATCACCTACCTTGAGGGGGGTTAGGTTAGGTTAGGTTAGGTTAGTTAATCTGAAGGAAAAATAAACCAGGAGGGGCTAATCTTCAGATGATCTAAAAACAGAACATTAATTCTCCTTGTAAATATCACAGGTGTTTTAATGTCTCGGTTTAACGTCTCGGTTTAACGTCTCGGTTTAACGTCTCGGTTTAATGTCTCTGTATATGGTCTTAGGTTTAATGTCTCTGTATAATGTGTTGGTTTTAACGTCTCGTATTAATGTGTTGGTTTAATTTCTCGGTTTAATGTCTTGGTTTAACGTCTTGGTTTTATTTCCAGCCAGTCGAGCAAACAGTCAGAAACCAACAGCCTCTAGTAAGCAAATCCTGCTTTGGGTAATGTTGGTAAACCTTAATTAATATTATTTGTTTGTTTAAGTCCCCCCTCTCTCTCTCTCTCTCTCTCTCTCTCTCTCTCTCTCTCTCTCTCTCTCTCTCTCGTGACTACAATATGTAAACTTTTGTGTAAGCTTTTGTGTCTCAGCTGTTGTGTAAACTTTAGTGTCTTACGTTTTGTGTAAAGTTTTGTCTTAGACGTTATGTAAACTTTTATTTGCTAGCCGTTGTGTAAACTCTTGCATTTTAGCTGTTGTGTAAACCCATGTATCGTTGCTTTTGTGTAAACCTGTGTCTTGTTATATACAGTAATACTTGTGATGAGTGTATTATATAAAAGTAAATTTGTCTCTGAGTATTATGTAGAAATATCTAATGTAAATGTTATTATTATTATCATTATCATTGTTAGTGTTATTATTATTATTATCATTATTATTGTTATCGTTATCGTTATCATTATCATCATTATTATTATTATTATTATTATTATTAGGTCATGTTTGGTTACACTTACCATTATCATAAGTCTCTGATGTGTTATTATATTGTTGTGTTTATATATTAACTCTATGGCGATATCTCCCATGTGTGTGTGTGTGTGTGTGTGTGTGTGTGTGTGTGTGTGTGTGTGTGTATTAACCCCACTGATAAGACCCTGATATAATGTCAACCCCTAATACGATACTAGGTATAACCCCCTGATATAACTGATGTCAACCCCCCTAATACGAACTACTAGGTATAACCCCCTGATATAACTGATGTCAACCCCCCTAATACGAACTACTAGGTATAACCCCCTGATATAACTGATGTCAACCCCCCTAATACGAACTACTAGGTATAACCCCCTGATATAACCACTTAAGATTCTCTATTTAATTATACCCGAAGTCTGTGTTAATATATTATTGTATTTTAATAACATCTCCATAAGTGGTATAATACTCTCAGTAAAAGTCTAATAAAATACATTAGAATCGCAGCCAGAGATACTCAAGCTTAGTACCGGGAGATAATATTATACTCGAGAATTTTTGTAATTATCGAGAAATGATAAATATTGATTTTATTTCCTTTTAACGAGACTTTAAATCCGTGTTGTAAGTTGTAAAACATTATGAAAACGTGAAGGAATGTCGGGTTTTTAATAAGAGGAGCTGTGTGTGTTATTGTGAGGGTTATAATGTTAAGTTGTAGATTATGTGTGTGTGTGTGTGTGTGTGTGAGTGAGAGTGTGTGTGTGTGTGAGTGAGAGTGTGTGTGTCAAATATGTGTCTGTGTGTAAATAAATCCTTCTCTAATACATAACCCAGGGGAAAAAAATAACCCACAATTAATTTAAGATTCCCTGAAGAGATATTACCCAAAATTATTTCACGTAAAAGGTTTGGACTGGATATTACTGTTGCCTGAATATTATTGTTGTATATTTTTTTACGATTCATTTAGGTTTTAAGGTAAGATTATTCATTTGTTGATGTTATGTATGTATGTATGTATGTATGTATGTATGTATGTATGTATGTATGTATGTATGTATGTATGTATGTATGTATGTATGTATGGGTACTAATTTTTCCCCATATTCTTTACTTTCAGCATCTCGTACTGACACACATAGACAGTCATATAAGCGTAAGGAAACTCCTGATTTTACTCTCTCCTTTTTTCAGAAATTGGTTTTGTTGATGTGTGTAACATTCTACTGTACGGGTGTTGTGCTAAACATTGCATCGTTTTTTTGCGTCCATGTTAAAAATGATCCTTTGTTCTTCATGACCTAGGTTGAGTTTCTTATGCTATACGTTATATAAATACATTATTATATTAAACAATGTGTTGCAACTATCATAAATACATGCTATAAGGAGACTCGTCTTTGATGTTGATTGAATAGTGATTTATGGGTGATTTTTTTTTGGGGGGGAGAGTTTTTGCGTTGTGTTTTGTTTTATAATAATTAAGCCAAAACAGTTGTATGGTGTTAAGGAAGTGAAGTACTTAGCTGTGATAATGTTTGTTACGTGTTGTAATGTTTATAATATATATTTTATTTCTCAGTTTAAAAGTTTTTAACATTTTCCTTGTTTAATTTACTTAATTATGAAATAATTTGCTTGCAACTAAGAAATATAAGTACATGTTTTGTTAATGTTTGATTCTTTTGTTGGAGTTGGTTTAATCTTTATAGTTTATGTTCGATGTTTATGTTAAAATGACATGTAAATGTTTTTATATTTCTCAAAAAATGATGTATTTTAATTATTAAATCGATTTTTTACAATTTCTGCTGTAACTTTACCTAATATATATATATATATATATATATATATATATATATATATATATATATATATATATATATATATATATATATATATATATATATATATATATATATATATATATATATATATATATATAGTTATCAGTAAGAGCATATTGTATTCATGCTTCATATATTATATAAAAATGTTACCTTGTGATGTATAAGTACTTGATATATCAGGTCAAGGATATTATTTTTCAAAGCCTTTGAGGCTGCTAGGGTGCGGTGGCCGAGTGGAAACAGCGCTCACACCCTCGTGTTATTTGTTGTCTAACTTTACAGTTAGGAAAGTAAAATCGAAGGAGTGCAGTGCCGCCCACACTGGCTCCCTGTGCACCGAAAAAGGCTTCTTCCACAGGTGCTGTATCCACCCTGCCACTCACGGGCCCACGGGACTCACTTCCACTTTTAGGAGACGATGGTTTAACCTCCTCTTGTTTAAGAGTATCAAGTCAACAATATTCCTCAGAAGGTTAAACCAACGACCTCAAAGTGTTTACTCTGGACTGTTATTTTGAAGCTTTGATACACAGTATATATATATATATATATATATATATATATATATATATATATATATATATATATATATATATATATATATATATATATATATATATATATATATATATATATATATATATATATATACAATTATTATTTTTATGATAATTGTGAAATACCAAATATTATTTGGTTCTTACACTTGTGTACAGTAGAACACCTGGTCAAGTGACTTCATACACAGACTGGCTCTCTCTCTCTTTATATCTCTATGTCTCGCCATCTCTCTCTCTCTCGTTATCAATCTTTATCTCTATCTCTCATCATCTCTCTCGTTATCAATCTTTATCTCTATCTCTCATCATCTCTCTCTTTATCAATCTTTACCTCTATCTCTCATCATCTCTCTCGTTATCAATCTTTATCTCTATCTCTCATCATCTCTCTCTTTATCAATCTTTATCTCTATCTCTCATCATCTCTCTCGTTATCAATCTTTATCTCTATCTCTCACCATCCGTCTCTCTCTACACCACTATTCCTTCACCTCCCTCCATATATAATCATTCAAGAAGATACTAACCCAATGCAATATGTTGTTCCCTTTCAGCCACACGTACTGACACCCTGAGACAATCCCGCCGGCGTAAGACAATCAAACTTCTTTACTCCTCTCAGATGTTATGATAATGTTCCCTGGTCTACCTCTATGCTGTTCAGGGTCATCGATAAAGACCACACCACAGTTTAATACGACTAACGATTAATTTTTTTGGGGGTGTTCTTTTAACGATGACTCGATAATGTTTTGGTTGAATTTGGTTGAATTTTGGTTGTATTCTTGTTGTTGTTTTAGTGTTGTTTTGCTTGTTATGTGATGGATTACAAGTGTTGTGTAATTAAGAGTGATTAAATACAGGTGTTGTGTAATTAAGTGGCTAACTAATTAAAGGTGTTTTGTAATTAAGAGTTATTAATTACAGGTGTTATATGATTAAATCTGACTAATTACAGGTGTTATAAAATTAAGTCTGACTAATTACAGGTGTTTTGTGACTAAATAGCTAATTAATTACAGGTGTTATGTAATTAATAGTGATTTATTACAGGTGTTTTGTAATTAAGTGACTAACTCATTAAAAGTATTTTGTAATTAAGAGTCAATAATTACAGGTGTTATACAATTAAACCCGACTAATTAAAGGTGTTTTGCAATTAACAAACTAATTAAATACTAGTCTCGTTGTATAATTAAGTCTAAGAAATAACAAGTGTTGTTACCTTATTAAAATCTAATTACTCTTGATTATAGGTAAATTGCGTATTAATTACACAAGTTGCAAATTAACTGAAGGGAGTCAGATTAATTTTGATATGTAGGGAAAGGAAAAGTAATTACATGTGGTGCAAATGATTTAAATAATGTCTGATTAATGTTTATATATGTATGGGTCCAGAACACCTTAATTACAGGGTGTTATGTAATTAAAGTGTAATTACTGTGGACTATGTAGTTATGATAGGGATTAAGCGTAGGTGTTTCTATAGAGTGATGTCTTAAATTGGTCTTGTCATAGTGTAAACCCCTTGAGTACGTTAACTTAATCCCTTGAGTACGTTAACTTAACCCCTTGAGTATGATGTCTTAACCCCTTGAGTATGATGTCTTAACCCCTTGAGTATGATGTCTTAACCCCTTGAGTATGATGTCTTAACCCCTTGAGTATGATGTCTTAACCCCTTGAGTATGATGTCTTAACCCCTTGAGTATGATGTCTTAACCCCTTGAGTACGATGTCTTAACCCCTTGAGTACGATGTCTTAACCCCTTGAGTACGATGTCTTAACCCCTTGAGTACGATGAGTACGATCTTAACCCCTTGAGTACGATGTCTTAACCCCTTGAGTACGATGTCTTAACCCCTTGAGTACGATGTCTTAACCCCTTGAGTACGATGTCTTAACCCCTTGAGTACGATTTCTTAACCCCTTGAGTACGATTTCTTAACCCCTTGAGTACGATGTCTTAACCCCTTGAGTACGATGTCTTAACCCCTTGAGTACGATGTCTTAACCCCTTGAGTACGATGTCTTAACCCCTTGAGTACGATGTCTTAACCCCTTGAGTACGATTTCTTAACCCCTTGAGTACGATTTCTTAACCCCTTGAGTACGATGTCTTAACCCCTTGAGTACGATGTCTTAACCCCTTGAGTACGATGTCTTAACCCCTTGAGTACGATGTCTTAACCCCTTGAGTATGATGTCTTAACCCCCTTGAGTACGATGTCTTAACCCCTTAGTGCGATGTCTTAACCCCCCTTGAGTATGATGTAACCTTGAGTATGATGTCTTAACCCCTTGGTGCGATGTCTTAACCCCTTGAGTATGATGTCTTAACCTTGAGTATGATGTCTTAACCCCTTGAGTACGATGTCTTAACCCACATGAGTATGATGTCTTAACCCCTTGAGTATGATGTCTTAACCCTTGGGTACGATATTCGCCCTTGAGTACGATGTGTAGCCTTAGTACGATGTCTTAACCCCTTGAGTACGTTAACTTAACCCCTTGAGTACGATGTCTTAACCCCTTGGTATGATGTCTTAACCTTAACCCCTTGAGTATGATGTCTTAACCCCTTGAGTATGATGTCTTAACCCCTTGAGTATGATGTCTTAACTCCTTGAGTATGATGTCTTAACCCCTTGAGTATGATGTCTTAACCCCTTGAGTATGATGTCTTAACCCCTTGAGTATGATGTCTTAACCCCTTGAGTATGATGTCTTAACCCCTTGAGTACGTTAACTTAACCCCTTGAGTATGATGTCTTAACCCCTTGAGTATGATGTCTTAACCCGTTGAGTATGATGTCTTAACCCGTTGAGTATGATGTCTTAACCCGTTGAGTATGATGTCTTAACCCCTTGAGTATGATGTCTTAACCCCTTGAGTATGATGTCTTAACCCCTTGAGTATGATGTCTTAACCACCTTGAGTACGATGACTAAACACCTTGAGTACGAAAAATTAACACCTTGAATGCGATGATCTAACTCATTTTAGTGAATTACTAGCCCCTTGAGTACAATAAATTAGCCTTTTAATATATCTAACCCCTTGAGTACATTCATTAAATCCAATGAGTACTGTGCCAACCTCCTATGTAATAATGAATTTGGTCTCATGAGTAAGATATCTTAAACTCTTGAGTACAATTTCTTAATCGTTTGAGTACAATGGATTACAACTCATTTCCTCGAGTACAATAACATTGAACTCAAGGGGTCAAGTCATCATACTCAAGAGGTTAAGAGCTCGTACTCATGTGGATAAGACACAGTACTCAAGGGGTTTGATTTGTACTCTTGAAATATATTCATGAATTAATAGATCAAATAAATGTATAAAAAAAAATAATTTACACAGAAAAAAACGGTATTTTTTCATTGATTCTGTTAATAAAGTAAAATTTTATGTAATTGAGTTTTTTCTAAATGACGATTTGTAAATTTATTTTATATATATTCAATTTATTGTATATATAAATTTACAATGTGTGTTATACTATAGCTGAGATGTTTTTATCATATATGAGTATAATAATTACCTTCATATATTGATTTGTTATAAAAATAGATAATCATTATAGTATCATCTCTGTAACCAGTAACAAACAGGTATATTTCTCGACACTACCTGGGCCTTGTGTGTTATAACCCGTATTGTTCACGTACAGTACCTGGGCCTTGTGTGTTATAACCTGTATTGTTCACGTACAGTACCTGGGCCTTGTGTGTTATAACCTGTATTGTTCACGTACAGTACCTGGGCCTTGTGTGTTATAACCTGTATTGTTCACGTACAGTACCTGGGCCTTGTGTGTTATAACCCGTATTGTTCACGTACAGTACCTGGGCCTTGTGTGTTATAACCCGTATTGTTCACGTACAGTACCTGGGCCTTGTGTGTTATAACCTGTATTGTTCACGTACAGTACCTGGGCCTTGTGTGTTATAACCTGTATTGTTCACGTACAGTACCTGGGCCTTGTGTGTTATAACCTGTATTGTTCACGTACAGTACCTGGGCCTTGTGTGTTATAACCCGTATTGTTCACGTACAGTACCTGAATATATTATCCGACACCGGTTTGTAATTGTTGTTATTATTATTATTATTTGTATTATTTTATTGTTATTTTTATTATTATTTTCATCCTCAATACTGTCATTATTAATACTACCACTATCATTATTATCATCATTATTGCTATTACAGTATCATCAATATTATTATTCACCTCACTTCATTTGTAATTTCTATTAATGTTTTTACTATTATTATTACTATTACCATTACTATTATTATCACCACTAAAGCTCTTCTAATGCCTTGCTTCCTTTGCTTTCAGCTCCTCGGACCGACACTCAGAGGCAGTCACTCAACAGTAAGAGAAATACACTCTTGTTCTTTTTCTTATTTATGGAGATTAATATTAGTTCTCTCGCTTTCCTCCCATTTCCCCGTCTCATCTCTCCCTCCACTTCCTCTCCCTCCCCTCTCCCCCATACCCTCTCCCTCTCTCTCCTCCCCTCTCCCCCATACCCTCTCCCTTCTCTCCCTCTCCTACACTCATTCAACCACAGAGAACAACACAGCTCAAGACAGTATCTTTGGGCCTCAGTGTTTTAATAAGGAAATAGATCTTCTTCCAACTATTCAGATATTCCTTTTTTTTATTTGTCTTATTAAGGAAATTAACCCCTTGACATGGTTATAAAAGAAGGTTTTTTTTTAAGGTAATTAGTTATATGTAAGTAAAGGTAACATTAAGAATAGAGTTATATTTCTAAGTCGATATTCTCTTTGGTTTAATTTTAGCCCAAGTGAATCATATTTTTTCAGTATTTTTTTTTATTATATATAAAATGGTCATTTGTGATTCTTTTCTATTCCAGCAATTAGCTTTTTATTTCAGTGAGAATTATATTTAAGAATTCGATTATTCCAATAGGTTTTTTTTTTGGTTATATGATTTTTTTTTTAATAATTTTTGTTTATTTTTGTGTTTTTTTTTAATAATTTGTTGTATATTTTTTTTTTTCCAGCCACTCGTTATGACCCAAACAGACGTTCATTCAACAGTAAGCAATTGTTTTATTTTTTTACATAATCAATGTTTATTTAAAGTTAATATACCAATATATTTAATGTTTTTTTGGTTGTGTTTACAGAGCATCCCAATGTTATATTCTGTTGATGTTAGTGAAGATGTTTGCCAATGTTTATGATTGATGTAAATAGTAATGTTATCTTTAACTTTTGTCATATCAAGTAGTAATGTTTAGCATGATTTTAAATAATGATGTTTAATATAGGTACACATAAAGATTATTTACACCTATGTTTATAAACTATTGAACATAATAATAAACAATATTTATACCATGATTAATGTTTAAAAGTGAAGTAAATAACGAATATATATGTGAATGTTAACACACCTTATTCAGCTAGTAATGTTTAAGTTACTCTCCCATCAAGCATGTTTTGTTTCAATGCTTATATGTTATTATGTTTATTTGTAAATGATAGAATTTTCACCTCTGTATTACTTTAGTTTGTTAATGTTTATACAGATTGAAGTCTTCAGTAATTTGACCCCAAGTATATTGTATTATTTTAACTAATTCTAATTTTATATATATTTATGTACAAAGTTTATTATTATTATTATTACATTAATTATTATCATTATTATTATTATTATTAAAGCTCGTTTCAATATTTTTGTCACTATAATGTCCTAACTTTGTTTAATTAACAATACTTAACATTTAATACCTTATCTAGTGTTAAAATTAGATCACCAATACCTAGCAGTACCTTACAGTATCTGAATATATCATCATGTTTATATAACACACACACACACACACACACACACACACATACACACACACACTAACTAATCGTATAATGTAATAAGAAATTATTGTACAGAATTTATAATTATAGAAGAAATGCCTAATTATTCTAGTCATTTCTTGTTCTATCATTGGAATTTGTTCATGTGTTCGTAACATTGGTCTCAGCCTCGAATAATACCAGGATTTTGTACCATTTCACAGCTACGTCGCGAGCTGACCCCAACAGAAGATCTTTTAACAGTAAGACAAAATATTACTTTCCCAGGTTTTATTATTTTCGCATTATTCAAATTTGATAAAATATTCCCATGTTAATAGTTGTATATTTTTTTACATGTTGTTGTTGTATTTCTAGTTCTTTAATAGGAAGTTACTGTTGTTGTGGTAAGTTAGTAATTTGTGTTGTGTATTATATAAAAAATAGATATTCGTGTTGTTGTTATAGAGTGATAAGTCATTATGTCTTACAGAGAAACTATAATAATAATGACTTAAATATTTATGGGTAAAGTGATTTTTTTTTCATGCATTATTATTGAAAAGAAAAAAAAAAATAATATTGTAAGTAACGTCTCACAGTATATGTTATTGAAGAAAAAAATAATATGTTAGTTAATGCTGTTTTATTTTAAAGTGATTGTTATGTTTTACTGAAAAAAAATCTATGTTACAGTGGTGCTTTGTTTCAGTGTTATATTGTTAGTGTTTAGTAATACTGCCTGATTATAATGGTACAATATAACACAGTCTTAGAATATAACGATGTCATGGTAATACTATTATTATCCAAGTTATATTGTAACTGTGTGTGTGTGTGTGTGTGTGTGTGTGTGTGTGTGTGTGTGTGTGTGTGTGTGTGTGTGTCTTGTGCTTTTACTTCTGAGTGCATGTAGGCGCTTCTCTCTATCTGGCTGTATGTCTGTCTGTCTGTCTGTCTTTATGTTTGTATTTAATATATTTGTGCATCTTTCATTATGCATTAAACGGATGACGTGAAGTTTAGACACCCCAATTTATTACACAAAGATTAGCCACCCTAACGCTAATCTAACCTAATAATCTAGCCTAACCTAATTTAACTTAGCTTAACCTAATTTAACCTAGCCTAACCTAATCCTATCTAACCTAGCATAACACTAACTTAATCTAACCTGTCCCATCAAACCTAACCTAATATAACTTAACATAGCCTAACCTAATTTAACCCAACCTACCCTAACCTAACCTACGATAACCTAGCTTAACCTAACCCAATCTAATCTAACCTATCCCAACGTTGGTAACCTAACCTAATCTACCCAAACCTAACCTAACTTAACCTAATTCTCCAAATAGTATTTATCTGTGTAATCATCAGATAAAATAAGCTGGGGTGTCTAATCTTCACGTGGTCCTGTTAAAATAAACGAGTGTTGTATTATCATGGTAAATTCTCTTATAATTTTAACATTAACTCTATTTATATCTGTCTTTCTCCATTTTCTTTAACAAATGTCTTATGTTAATCAAGTAGTTCTTTTTTACCAAATGTTATCGCTCATGTGCCTTTGATATTTGTTCGGTATTCGCTTTTTACATAATGGAATGAATGATAGTTGATGAAAGATATGGAATTTTTGGGGCTGTGGTTTTTTTTTTTTTTTAATTTGAAGATCAGATTTATTTAATGTCTCGACCTAAATATTTTTATATAAATACTAAAATTTTAGGTTAGGTTAGATTAAGTATGATGAAGGTACAGTAGGTTACGTTATATTACGTTACGTTACGTTTCGTTATGTTACGTTACGTTAGGTTAGGTTAGATTAGGTTAGGTTAGATAAAGTTAGGTTATTTTGCTTAGGGATGAGTAAGGTTAGGTTGCGTTAATAGCACGATAGGGTTAGGTTAAGCTAAGTTACGTTAATGACACGATAGGGAGTGCGGTGGCCGAATGGATACACTCGCTCCCTGTACTAGGGGTCTGTGGTTCGATCACCGGACGCCCTCAGGCCACTCAGGGGTAAATGGCGACCTGAGTGCACAATAGGTTAGGTTAGGTTAGGTTAGGGGGTTGGGAAGGGTTGGTTAGATTAAGATACTCTATATCATGGAGAGGTTAGGTCAGCCCAAGTTTGGATACCCCAGGTTAGATTAGGTTAAGTTAGGTTAGCTGTGGTTGTAGTTGAATTGCCAATTCATTAATATAATTTTCATCATTATTTAACCAAATAACAATGAATAGTTTATTATTATAACAATTCTACCTTTGGTTTGTTTAATATTCATCCTGACAGAGGTACAGTCGAAAACAGATCCACCAATCACAGTCACCATTACATACAGCCTTACTCTACCAGGTGTTGTTAGGTAAAATTGCCAGCACGAGACCCAGGGTGGGGGTGTGACACATGAACGACCAATGGTTGTATATGGAATCAAGAAGCAGGAAAGATATGGCTCTATCTCCTGGGCTATTGTTACCCCCGTAAAATATACCCGTAACTGGGAACCGCTGCATTAACCTGAGTTAACCTAACCTAACCAAACGTAAGACACAAATCAGTTAATCCTTCAATATCATAACGTTAAGAAAAAAATAATAATAATCTTTCATAATTATGTAATAGTTAAAAATATTTTTCTTTTCCCTTGAGAAAAAAAAACGTCAAATTTTCACTCTTATATGAATTAATTATCCTCAGCCAGTGTGTGGGTGTGTGTGTGTGTGTGTGTGTGTGTGTGTGTGCGCTATATAAATATCATGTCATGGCAGCAGCGAGTAATGTGTTTGTTTGTTTGCTTTTGTTTGTTATTCTAATTATATGTTGATATTCGTGTCTTTGTTCCAGTCACTCGTACAGACCCGAAAAGAAGGTCATTAAATAGTAAGGAAAAAAATATTTGCTTGTTTGTGTATTTGTTTGTTTGCTTATAATTGTCTTAGTGATTACTTTAGTGTTTGTTTGTTTGTTTAGAGGGAGTGACTTTTGGTGTGTTTGTTTTTTTCTGTTAGTATTTGTAGTTTGTTTGTTTGTTTGTTTGTTTGTTTTGAGTGATTGATATTTGTTGTTTGCATTTGTTTGTTTTTTTTCAGTATGTTTAGTTAGACGATTAAAATTAATAAGAGTTTTTTGTTTTTTATTATAGTGACTGTTTTTAAATGTGTTTTTCTGAGATTGTTAAATATAGTAATAAATTATCCCTATATCAAGAAAAAACTGATTTTATTCAAATTTTTATCACCATCTTTGAGAAATTTTAAATGTAAATTGTTCATAATTCTTTTTACTGAAATGTTAATGCAAATTTTTTACAAGATTTTATTCAGTTTTGCAGAATTTATTAGTAGTAAAAATATTATTATATGTTTTTGTGTCTGTCTGTCTGTCTGTCTGTCTGTCTGTCTGTCTGTCTGTCTCTAAACATTAATATTTGCCTGTGTGTCGGTCAGCCTCTCTCTCTCTCTCTCTCTCTCTCTCTCTCTCTCTCTCTCTCTCTCTCTCTCTCTCTCTCTTTCTCTCTGGATGTTACCTGACCATTTCTATTAAAGTCGAAATTTATCAATATTCTAAAACCAAGATTCACACTTCACCAATATGGTATATCACCTATGACTCTTATACCATATATAATCCTCGTTCATATATGGCCGTATAGACGTTTGTTTGATGTATCCTAAGCTCAAGTGAGTGTATGTTATTCTGGGTGTTGTTGTAGTGCTTATTGTAGTGTTTCATGTCAATACGATTGTGATTTTGTTGTGATTTGGGAATTTCATTGTTAAATTATATCACTTGTTTATGTTCTATGTTATTATTGATATTTTTATGGTTATTGTTATTGTTACTCGAGCTATTGTTAATAATAATAATCATCAAAATAATAATCATAATATTATTTACACTGCGTTTGTGTTTTAAATTACAATTATCATTATTATTTACACTACTTGTAAGGGTAAAATTATTATGTATATATTATCTCCTTTATATAAACATTACTCATTGCTATACAGAATTTTCTATTTGGTAAGTAATGTGTTTTATCTAATCCTCAATCTGTACTGGATAAAACACCTATGTACTGGTAAAACAGATGTGCACCTGTACGACGTATGTGAACCTGTGCAACCCATGTGTACTGGTAAAACAGATGTGCACCTGTACGACGTATGTGAACCTGTGCAACCCATGTGTACTGGTAAAACAGATGTGCACCTGTACGACGTATGTGAACCTGTGCAACCCATGTGTACTGGTAAAACAGATGTGCACCTGTACGATGTATGTGTACCTAAAAACCTGTGTATTGCTATTAATCCCTTCTGTTGGCTATTTTGTAGTTATCCCTCCTCTGTGACACTCCAGCTAATTATACCTGTAAGTAAGCGGCAAGACATATATTACGTTCCATCACCCAGTAACAATCCGACCATACCTTCAACCTTCGCCTCATGTTTGCATGAATTTGTCAAACTTTCTCCATTCCAAAGTAAAAAATATAACGGGACATAATAATAATAATAATAATAATATTAATAATAATAATAATAATAATAATAATAATAATAATAATAATAATAATAATAATAATAATAACAATAATAAATAGTAATAATAATAATAATAATAATAATAATAATAATAATAATAATAATAATAATAATAATAATTATAATAATAATAATAATAATAATAATAATAATAATAATAATAAAAAATAGTAATAATAATAATAATAATAATAATAATATTAATAATAATCAACAGGAGGAAAGATACGAAATAGTAATGAGTGGGCAAATGGTTCTTCTCTGCGTCAAATATGAAAATAGATCAAGTCATAAACTAAACCCCGTATAAGTCTTAGAAAAGGTCTCTCTGCCGCACAAGAACCAACTCGAGCTAAAAATGAAATAAAACTACACTAGATTCCTCGGCGTTTTAGTATAGTTCGAATAGTTTTAATAGAATATGGTTTACTACCCCGGTCGTGGTACATGAATCTGATCGTCAACAAACGCACAGTACATTCACCAGTAGATGCAGGTAACATACATACATTAATTACTCTATATGAACTAAAATAAATGGAGAATCTTTACTTTTCCTTATTTAAAAATCAATGTTTTTCCTCAGATGTTTAATAGAGTTATATACGAAATAGTCTACAGTATAAAGCAGAAGTATATAACAAACACAATTTTCCGTGAAGTATTTTTTTCCGAATTTTTATTGAATTTTTTTTTCCAGACGGCATTTTAAAAGTTCCATAAATCATAAAGGAATTACGTTTGTATATTTCCAGTAAGTTTGTTTGTTATTTTAGAACATTATTAATTCCTTTAATTCTTCTTGGTTTTCAGCGACACGAACAGATCCTAAGAGAAGGTCACTCAATAGTAAGCCAATACTTAACCTTATGCTAATTAGTGTTGTCAATTATTATTTCCATGTTGTGTTGTCAATTATTATTTACACGTGTTAATTATTATTTCATGTTGTGTTGTTAATTTTACTTTTTGCTGGGAAAGTTAAGCTTTTTTTTATGAATGCAAATTTAGATTTTTTTGTCGTATTTTTGTTGTATAAATTTACTAATTAGAACTTCCGTGTTTGTATTTTTCTTTCCCTTTAAGGTGAAAAAAAATATGGGATTGGTAAGTAATATTTTATTTATTTCTTAATTGTTGTCAAGTTTATTTGTTGTAATAGGAAGTTGATGCAGTATAGTGCTATAGTTTGTAGTGCTTGTTGTGCCCGTTTAGTGCTTCTGATCACCACAGGCATAATATATTGTGTGTGTGTTGTGGGTAACTGAAACTTAAAGACACCACACAAAAATAACAACTATTTTCTTACCGATAATATAAGCTGTCTTTAAGGAAAATCCAGGTGGGGAAATTATTCACACTTACATATCTACCTTCTCCAACTTTCTCTTAAAATGCCTTCGTTCCTATACCTTCTGTAAGCCCGTACGCTATAGGTTAAGACATCAATTACCATTTATTAATATTTGTCCTAATTTGGTTTTGCAGCTCCCCGCACTGACCCCAACAGGCGATCGTTCAATAGTAAGCAAATTATCTCTCTCTCCATAATATACTGTGTGTTCCCGGCCCCTTATCGTATGTGTCACCTTATTTAGTCTTAAGTTACCCCTCCCTTGTTAAATTCATTTTCTATGACCGCTGTGGCGTTAATGCTGATCACCTGAGAAAATTGACCCTTATGCTTATTTCACCTTAAGATTAGCTATTCAAATGTTACCCTAACCTAACCTAACCCCACGTTTACTTCGCATTAAGTTAAACCACTCTAATTCAAACCTAACCTAACGTAACCCCACTTTTATTAACCCCACTTTTATTTGACATTCAGATTAACACCATAATCCTAATCCTAACCTAATCTAGGCAGCAATAGAGTGTTTAATCATGAGGTGAAATAATCTAGAGGGGTTAATCTTCAGGTGATTCGAATAAATCTTAGTAATTAACACCATAATTTTAACCCTTTGTGGGATGTATATACAGTACTTTAAATTTCTATTCTCAATAATAAAGTCAATATTTATCGTGCTATTAATTTTGTAGTTCACTCTATCTCCTATTTCTCATCTTCCTTTTAAAAATATTTTGTACTTTTTATTTCGTATTTAGTGAATCAAATTAAATATCTATTGTTTTAGGATAATTTTTCCATTAATCTTATTTTTGTTTCAATATTTATCTATACCCAATTAATGTCTTTAATATAATCAAGTAAATCCTTATCTAAATATAATCTTACCTGAAGAGATACAACAACAGGTATAAAAGATTCAGTAATTTTGTAATGATTATTTTTGTAACTGTACTGCCCTGTTTTGTATTCCTGCCCATACTTAAGTCTTTACCTGTAATCTGAAATAGTATAGAAATATTGCGGGTGTTATATGAGTGTGTTAAGTGCACTGCACTGCGTATGTTAAGTGTGTGTGTGTTGCGTGTGTGACGTGAGTGTGTTAAGTGCACTGCGTGTGTTAAATGAGTGTGTTAAGAGCACTGCACTGCGTGTGTTAAGTGAGTGTGTTAAGTGCACTGCACTGCGTATGTTAAGTGTGTGTGTTGCGTGTGTGACGCGAGTGTGTTAAGTGCACTGCGTGTGTTAAATGAGTGTGTTAAGAGCACTGCACTGCGTGTGTTAAGTGAGAGTGTTATGCACTGCACTGTGTGCGTTAAGTGAGTGCGTTATGAGATGCTTGTGTTATGAGCGTGTTGCGTGTTAAGAGTGTGTTATGCACTGCACTGTGTGCGTTAAGGAGTGTAAGTAAGGAGATGCCTGTGTTAAGTGAGTGTGTTAAGAGCGTGTTGCGTGCGTTAAGAGAGTGTGTTATGCACTGCACTGTGTGTGCGTTATGAGTGTGTTATGAGATGTGCTTGTGTTAAGTGGGAGTGTGTTAAGTGTCAGTTATCCGTGTGTGTGTGTGTGTGTGTGTGTGTGTGTGTGTGTGTGTGTGTGTGTGTGTGTGTGTGTGTGTGTGTGTGTGTGTGGAGTGAGTGTGTGTGTTACTGCATTTTTCTGTAAATGATTTAGTTCTTAGACATCTCTCTCTCTCTCAAACTGTTATCTACCTCACTAATTAATTCCCCTTAATTAACATACCTATAAAACACCTGCCAATACCTGTGTCGACATATGCACTTATGTCTTGCAACACTATTAAAATTCCTAATACATTTTCACCTTTAGTAAATATTAAAACCAATTTTCTTCACTATAATATTTTTTTCTTATATTTATATCTAATTGGAAATCTTGTTATAGAATCTAATTTTATTATCGGATTACCTGATGATTAGACACCTTAGCTTACCTCACCTGAAGATTAATAAACCTAACCTAACCTAACCTAATTCAACTATCCAGGTAAGCTTAGGGTGATGTATCTTGAGGTTAAATAAGCTTGGGTGTCTAATCTTCAGGTGAATCCTTTTTTTTTTCAATGTATTTTAAACTGTAGAAACACCATTAATTTATCTATGTTATGTATCATTCTTTCTATGGCCTGTAACGAGAGGTAAAAATTTTTCATATATAGTTTTGCATTTTTTTTTATGTTCATGTGTTAAGACTGTGTGTGAACTGCCTAATTTCTTATAAAAATCTTGGAATTCTCAGAAATTCTCGCCTCATCGGATTTTTTCAACTATGGTCTTAGTATTGCCTTCAATGTTATATTTTCACTCGATATAATTCCAATTTATTGTTATACGGATTTATTATTTAAGAAAATATAAATTCTCTGTTTATAAGAATTTATATTAATCAAATATTTACAAAACTTTAACTTTTTTTTAGGACAAGAGTTAAATTAGTTCCAAATTTCCAAAAAAAATAAAAATATATTCAAGTCTCAGTTTGTATAGAAATAAGTAATATTAATATAAATGCATAATATGGAAGCTGGATATTCAGGATTTTTGGGTCAGTGAATAGGTCATTATTTATCGCGAACTTGTGTGTGGGGAGGGAGGGGGTGAGGGGGAACAGAGGGGGGGGGGTGAGAAAGGGGTTTTACAGCTCACGACCTATAGTGTAGGTTAATGGGTCAAGCAACCGACCTTTTCATCTGACCTTTCACGCCATAAAGTCCATCTGAACAATACCCTGAATAACTCGGGGTTGTCTGAAACTATTAAATACATTTAATAGAAAGAGATGAATAATATACAGATTCTAGAGTATAACTTGAATATTTGTATTATGTATAGTAATTACAGGCTTACCTCTACACCTGTTGTAAATATACATAAACAATCATCACAACACCTAGTTTTATAGGTAATTGTGATTATACATATAATCCGTATGTATATATAAACAGATGATCATATATACAGGTGTTATAATTAGTAATATACCTGTTTTCAGCATCACGTACCGAGCCGAATAGACGGTCCCTAAACAGTGAGTAGTGTAGTGAAGGTCTTAACACACACTTCTTCAAAGACTTCTCTCTCTTAATTAATTCCTGTGGTAAACTGACTCAACTGATCTTACATCTTAAGCTACTGGGATATGGACGGATCCATCTCTATATAACTAACAAGAATAATCAATTTTAATATGTATGTTGTGTTTTGTATATTAATGTCTGTGTTTTGTATAATCTATATTAATACCTGTGTTCTATAACCCCGCCGTACCATCTGTAATTTGTAGCTCGTTTTAATACCTGTATTCTGTAGCATAAAATGATATCTATTTTATATTAAGCTATATTAACATGTGATCTATAGTCTATCTTAAGATGTGTATTCTGTAGCCAACATATGTGTTCTATGGCCCTTATTAATGTGTGTTCCCCTGATCTGTATTTTGAACACTAAATAGAGACCTTCGTTTATTTCCGGTGTTACCTGTAGATTAAGCACCCCAGCTTCTTTCACCCGATAGTCACAAACCTTTAATGATAAACTTACCTAACAATAACCTAACCTAACCTAACAATAACCTAACCTAACCTAACAATAACCTAACCTAACCTAACAATAACCTAACCTAACCTAACAATAACCTAACCTAACAATAACCTAACCTAACCTAACAATAACCTAACCTAACCCCCCCTAGGTAGTATTAACGTGTGTACTTAAATAAGCTGGTCTGTCTAATATTTCCATGACCCGTTTTTGTATCAGTGTTCACAGAAAACGAAAATAGTTTTGGTGGTAACTAAAGAAGTTTTGTCGTTTTCTTAAAAAAATCTTTAAACTGTGATTTTTTTTTTAACTGTTGTAAAATACTCAAGGTGTTGATATCTCTTCTGAGAATATACAATTTATGAGTGCTTTTGTTCTTGTCATTAGTGGTTATTAAATGTTATTAGTTTTTATTAATTTGCTGTTGTGATTTTAAGATAATTTGGGCTTCCTTTTCTTTTTTTACTATAAAATTTCCTTAATCAGTTTTGTAATTTAAAGCGAAAATTTAAATTCTATTTTTTTGTGATTTTTAACCATAACTAAGTTCACTTAACCTGATAATTATTGTTATTAGATATGAATCTTTCCTGTTAATATCCTGCCTCCACTATTGTCTGCTTGGGATTTATCATGTTATTATATCCTGGTGTACTTCCTTGTGGTGTGTGGAGTGAGGAGCGGCACTGTTTCCTGTTAGCAAATACTGTCTAGTCGAGGTCAGTGCCGGCCACACAGACTCCATTTATCCCGACAAGAAGGCCTAGTCTACAGTGTGCTGTATCCATACCGCCCTGAACTATGGGACCTTCTTTACTTTATTCACTTGTGTTATACAATGATGTAGAAGTTCTCTTTGTAAGTAGTTATTCAGGGTTAACATTATATTCTACAGTTTTTATGTCAATATTCTATCTTATCTTTCCTTGTTTAGTTTGAGTAGTTAATAACATCAATTAGGAGCCAGTTGTATATAGATTAAGTGATTGCTATTACATTAACGCCATTAACTTACTTCAAGAGAAAAAAAATATTTATCATTTATTTGTTATTAATTTCAAAATAGAAATTATTCATAACAGATACAGGTGTTCATTATTCACTATATTGGTCCGACATATGTCAGGTGTTGCTCATTAATTAATAATCACTTGATAAGGTAACGTAACATAAAGTCTCGGTGGACAGTAACACACTTATGAGAAAAAAAACATGAATATTTATAATGATTTTAAAGTAATGATTCCTTGGTCACTGACGAGACACTAAGGCAGAGTTTACACACACACACACACACACACACACACACACACACACACACACACACACACACACACACACACAGGTAACAATATCTCGACCATTAATCTCGTTTTTGTTTCCAGCAGCCCGTACTGACCCCAACAGAAGGTCATTCAACAGTAAGCTGACATATTCATTCATTTTGCACTGTTTATGTTACAGAAAATCACCACCATTATTATTATTATAAACTAATTCTGTGTTTTATCTAGAGCACATTTTTTTAATTTAATTTGTTTAATGTTGCACACACCTTTGTAGGTTCGTATCCCATTATAATAAATAAAAAAATATGATTGTGGTAAGTGATGTTTTGTTGTTAGTATTTGTATTTGTTTTTATTATGTAAAACACCACCATGAGTAGTCTGTTCCCTCTTGTCATTCCATTCTTGTCTGTTCCCTCCTGTCATTCCATTCTAGTTTGTCCCTCTTGTCGTTCCATTCTAGTCTGTTCCTCCTGTCATTCCATTCTAGTTTGTCCCTCTTGTCATTCCATTCTAGTCTGTTCCTCCTGTCATTCCATTCTAGTTTGTCCCTCTTGTCATTCCATTCTAGTCTGTCCCTCTTGTCATTCCATTCTAGTCTGTTCCCTCCTGTCATTCCATTCTAGTTTGTCCCTCTTGTCATTCCATTCTAGTCTGTTCCTCCTGTCATTCCATTCTAGTCTGTCCCTCTTGTCATTCCATTCTAGTCTGTCCCTCTTGTCATTCCATTCTAGTCTGTTCCTCCTGTCATTCCATTCTAGTCTGTTCCTCCTGTCATTCCATTCTAGTCTGTTTCTCCTGTCATTCCATTCTAGTCTGTTCCTCCAGTCATTCCATTCTAGTCTGTCCCTCCAGTCATTCCATTCTAGTCCCTCTTGTCATTCCATTCTAGTCTGTCCTCTTGTCATTCCATTCTAGTCTGTTCCCTCCTGTCATTCCATTCTAGTTTGTCCCTCTTGTCATTCCATTCTAGTCTGTTCCTCCTGTCATTCCATTCTAGTCTGTCCCTCTTGTCATTCCATTCTAGTCTGTCCCTCTTGTCATTCCATTCTAGTCTGTTCCTCCTGTCATTCCATTCTAGTCTGTTCCTCCTGTCATTCCATTCTAGTCTGTTTCTCCTGTCATTCCATTCTAGTCTGTTCCTCCAGTCATTCCATTCTAGTCTGTCCCTCCAGTCATTCCATTCTAGTCGGTCCCTCCTGTCATTCCATTCTCTTGGTCATGAACACCTCTGTGCCTTTTGTCATCATTTGTATTTTAGTTGATAAAAGATGTTCCTTTATGAGAAATAGAACTGCCTGTATCCCGTTAGTGAGAATATTTGTACGTGCATTTTGCGATGGAGTAATATTTGTGTAAATATCACTCAATCTATAGGACAATTTTATTTTATTATCATACATTAGGTCGTCGTCTTTAGCTTGACTCCTCTGTTTGATAGATAATTTGTTTTACCCTTTCCTTATATATTTCAACTCTGGTAACTGTATCGTGTACCACTTTTTGCTCTTTACTCCCGTTACTTGTCAGTTTATTTTAAACATTTCAAAATTCGAAACAATTATCATTCGAATCAGTTTCATAAAAACGAATATAATTGAAACAATATTCGAGACACTCTTCACAACAGTGAAACAAAGTGTATCTGTACAGACAGTTTATAGAAAAATGCAAGTCAATAGGGAAAATAATAATAACACTGATAATATTACAATATATAGACGGTAAGTTTATCGAAAACGGAATGCTGTACTGCTAGAAGACTGTTTGAGAGCTTCATGGGTTCGAATACCGTAAGACACCGATATTCATACCTACGGTTGGCACCTTAGATAACGAAACACCAGCAGTACCGTACAGTAGAAGGCGACTTGTCCTGGATAATTTAATATGACTATATATTGTGGTGATCTTTCAGTGTAATATCTGCCAGTCTGTCCAAGTAATCTGATGGAATGTCGATTTATAATGAGATGGCGTCAAAGGTCATGACGCAGTGGTATAATGCAAAATATTGTCTATATATTATGATTTTCCGTGGGAGTAAAGTGCTAAAAGGAATATATAGTTTAAAAGTTGAAGACGAGATTCCTTGGAGGCTTTTCACAATATCTGGCAACATCTTCACTACTTTGAGGGGCATCAAACTTATATCTTCTGTTTTATCTTGTATTATAGTATTTTTTCAAGCAATTTTCATGTAATATATATATAAGAACAGCGTCCAGTAGCTGTAATGTTATAATATAAACTCACAATTAGTTGCCAAATATTAAAAAGCAACGAAGTGAAATTTTTACCTAAACTATATAAAACGTCTTTGAGCGTCAGGGGCGGATCCATGAATATCAAAAGGGGGGGTCCAAAAAGTTGTGGGCGGGGTATCATAGCGAGCACAGCGAGTCCACCCAACTGGGATTTTTATGGGTGGGTGGGGGTGGGAGGGGTGGAGGGGGGCACTGTAAGCCCTGCAGATTTTTTTTTTAAATCTGACTAATATGGGCATTTTGAGGCCATTTTGAAGCCTTGTGCACTTGATATTAAGAGATATTCTGAGGTCAATAGTAAATGCTTTTCACTACACAAAAATACCTGAGTACAATACTGCATTAGAAAAGGTATTGGAATTTCCTGATGAAAAAGGGGGGCCCGGACCCCTGGATCCTCCCCTGAGCGGATTTTCCTGCATTAATGGACAAATTATTATAATCTGTATTACGAGTTTTGTCACTGGTTGTGGGTTTTAATGCTTGGTGATGTTCCAAGGTCAAAGAAAACGTACTGGTGTATCTGGTTAATATCAGGGAAGACTTATACATCCTGAGTAACAAGTCCTTACGTATATTAAACCCCAAACTACTGCAACTCTCATACCTTAAGTAGTGAAGTAAAAGTAGATGTGACACTCTTAAGTAATACAATAATACTAGTCGTTATGATTTAAGTTAGTAGTGATGATTCTAAGTAGTGATTTGACAGTAGTCGTAACAAGGGTCGCCACCATCCAAGGGGCGAGGTCAGGCGCCACTTTATTGTGTCATAGCCAAGTGTTTGTTGCCATCATAGAATATATTGTGAACTACTGTACTGTGTGTGTGTATCTGTGTCTGTCTGTCTGCTGTGTGTGCGTGTGTGTGTGTGTGTTACTTGATTTTTAGTTTTCTGTTGACATATATTTTAATGTTTATTTTTATATATTTTACAGGCAATTCTGATGATGGAATCTGGCTGCCAATATAATTTAAAAAACTTTTCATATTTACATTTTGGTTACATAGCCACTAGAGTAAATTATTTCATATTGAGAGTTATATGTAGCTAAAAATATTTTACAACTGCATTCAATGTATTTTTTTTTCGATTGTTGTAATGTTACGCTAAAACGAGGCAACAAGGTAACCGGCTAATGGCCATTGGCGCGTGTGCATGTGTGTGCAAGTGTGTGCGTGTGTGCATGTGTGTGTATAATAATAAATAATAATAATAAACGTTTATTAATAGAGTTGCAGCCGGTGTGTGTGTGTGTGTGTGTGTGTCTTCAGCATCAGCAGTTTCACTATAAATTTACACCCCTACGTGACCCATTATATTACATGAGCGTAAACAGAGGAATATCAAGGAGCGATTTACCTGAGAATGATTTAATTAGACGAGTTTACCTGAGGGGTGAAGGTAGGCCGCCGTGATCAAGGGGAGACTGAACACAATTTTACACACTTGTACTCTTTTGTAAATTTTCACAATTTTGTATTTTATTGTATATAATATATTGGCTACTTTACTGGCAGACACAACGTACAGTCGGTCGGGTTGGGTTGGTTTGGTTGGGTGAGTTGGGGTTGGGTTAGCTTGGTTAGGTTAGGTTAGGTTACGTTTGAGTAGGTTAGATAAATAAGAATAGTTCAAGTTAGGTCAGATACAGTCTTCGGTTACATATGATTGGTTTAGGCAGATATAATTTCAATTTGGTTAGGTTTAGTAAGATTAAGTTAGTGAAGAGGACTGTACTACTACCGCTACTACTACTACTACTACTACTATTTTTTTATGGCCTCCAGCCTCCCCCAATAGCCATTCTTTCGCCACCATTTTATTACCTTAATATTAAATATCCTAATACATAAGTAGCTATCCTAGCTGTGTTGAGTTAATTCAGCCACAGATCTATGAGGCCTTCGAATCTTGTTTACTTCACTGGTATCCTCCTCCCCTGTTGCGTTCTGAGCTATTATGTGGTCCGTGAGGGCTGCCGTGAGCTTAACTGAGTTTTGATGTTCGGTGGCAGCAAACTCCTCTGGATTGGTCAATCCCATTCCTCCCAGTCTCGGTGGCAGTGCAAGGAGTGATCTTTCTGCTGGGGTTAAGTGAAGGTGTTTCACTAATTTGGGAATGAAATTGACGCTGATAGCTTCTTCCAGAGGGTGGAGGAGGGGTCCGATAACAGGGATAGTGCGCATCAGGTAGTTCCAGCGATGCTTGACGCCATGGGTGAATGCAGCAAAAGCAGCATGTGGCTCTGTGTTAGCAATCTCAGACAGAGCTTGGATTTCCCTAACCCACTCATTCACCTTTCCTGTTACGTACTCGGTCTTGAAGTCCGTCGTGCCGATTACTGCGCCTAGGTGTCTTTGGCCATCCTTTGTTATTTTGACCTCACTTCCACCGAACACCTCCATTGCCCGTTCATAATGTTCTGGCTTCACAATGAGGAAGGACTTGCTGGCGTTTGGGTGGTACCCTATTTGTGGGCCTCGCGATGTTACCAGATCCCACCACTTTTTGATGTCCTCCACTTTTCCTGCTCCTGTAAGGTCATCAGCGGAAACCACTTGCTTCACCTCAGTTGTTTCAAATTTTATTGTGTGTTGGAGCACGGATAGGCCTATTGTGTACATAGCCATTGCAACAGGGTCTCCCTGTGTTGTTCCCTCGGTTGACTGTAAGATGGTATCACCTCTTAGAGCCTTGTTGTTTACTATATAGAGATCTGATGGATTCCTATGGGAGTTTTCAACATACATTGCAAACCTTGGACACTTGATCTTGATGTTGTGCAGTACGGCCTTGCGGTTAAGTATGTTGAATGCGTTTGAAGCGTCCACCAGGAGAACGGCCTCACAATCACGCTGCTCG